TTGCGTAATAGTGGCTTTAGGCATTGTATGTACTAGCTCTACCTATAAGTCAAACAATCCTTGTAAATATTTATTGTATGTATGTACCTTACCTAAATAAAATTGTATTGTATTGTATTGTATTGTATTGTACTTTGCCTAGTTTGACGCGCGAGGCTCAGCCCACCCCAAGGTCGGCCTGGCCGATTCACCCAAAGGTGAGCCTGTGAGCGTTCACCCGCACTAAAATGTGTTTACTCTTGCGTATATAAGGTCAAAAAGCCCAGTTTGCCACCCGCAGCAGACCCAAAAGTTGGCGAAGTGTCAGCCGTGAACACAACCGGACTAATATGTGTATACTCATTTCAATTTTCTCACCTCAATTTTCATGATACGTCTTTGATTTTGGTATCGAATTGTTCACAATAGAATTCTCTAAAGGGATATATGCATGTAAGGCCAAAAAGGGCGGCGCGCTACCCACAGCAAACCATAAAATCCGGCGAGAGTTACGTCACCTGTCGCTGGGTTCATGTCTAGCCTACACCCCATACCCAAGACTTTCCAATATATTTGACCCAAAAAAATTCCTAGGCTATTGAAATCAGCTTTTCAAAAATCAGGCACTTTAACAGAATTTTCTCCTACAGATGTATTCCATTCTATGCTAAATCCTATTTCTTTATGATCACTGTTCCCTAGCTCACTCACTATTTCCATGTCCTTAATTTGTGTTTCCGTGTTAGTTAACACTAAATCTAAAATATTATTATCTCGCGTTGGTTCCGTTAATGTGTTGCGTAAGAAAGCAATCGTCAATTACTTGTAGAAAATCTTCTGCTTCACTATTCCCTGTTTTGTTCAGGTAGCGGGCTGACGTGGCAAATTTCACCCCCACACGCATATACTTAAGTTTCTCCAGGCCTAGAAGATCGGCGACCTTCACATCCAAAACGTCCAGTAACGCGACTAATACGAGAGGCCAATCCACAGGAGCTGAGAAAGCAAGACCCACAGTATCTACACGGCGAATCGGCCTATACTCCCAGCCGCCGCCATGCCGCCAGCTAACACGCCGGTCAGCGGCCGCACCACCCCCATTCTTGCAAAGCCACTAGTACGCGCAGCGTTTCGGGCAAGTCCTTAATCTAGCAGATAATTTTAAGTAGGTAATTTCAATCAGAATTGATAAATGAAAGATACATTAGAAGAGAAAAATGAGATGAGAGATAAGTAAGTATATTAAAGCACATTGTTATATTAAAGCTCTGATTGATTACAGTGACAGCTTGATTAGTAATTTAAACAAGATTAATAGACACCATACAGCAGATTGACAGCACATATAAGACAACAATGATCACAATGGTAAAGATGTTCAGAATGGGTACATAAAGATTGTGAGACTGGATAGCAAAAGATACAGATAAACAAGATTTATAAACACCATATAACAGATTGGGAGCACATATAAGAAAACAGCAATGTTCACAATGGTAAAGATGTTCAAATTGGGAACATAAAGGTTGGGAGATTGGGTAGCCAATAGATACAGTGCAATTTTAAGGCAAAAAGTGAAAAATTATGAAGATGAAATTAGGTACTTTTTAGTATTGATTTTGAATGATGTAAAAGTTGGACAGCTTTTCAATTCAGTAGGGAGTGAGTTCCATAAACTGGGTCCCTTTATTTGCATAGAGTGTTTACACAGATTAAGTTTAACTCTGGGGATATCGAAGAGATATTTATTTCTGGTGTGGTGATAATGGGTCCTATTACATCTGTCCAGGAAGAGTTTCAGACAAGGATTTGCATTTAAGAACAGGGTTTTGTAAATGTAGTTGACACAAGAGAATTTGTGGAGAGAGATTATGCTTAGCATGTTTAGGGAGTTAAACAAGGGGGCTGAGTGTTGTCTGAAAGCAGAATTTGATATTATTCTGATAGCAGATTTTTGCTGGGTGATGATGGACTTGAGGTGGTTTGTAGTGGTTGAACCCCATGCACAGATACCATAGTTGAGATAGGGATAGATTAGTGCATAATATAGAGAGATGAGAGCAGAGTTAGGAACATAATATCTGAATTTGGAGAGTATACCAACTGTTTTAGAGACTTTCTTAGTTATGTGTTGTATGTGGGTACTGAAGTTGAGTCTGTTGTCTAGGAATATGCCAAGAAACTTTCCATCATTTTTATTGCTAATGTTTACATTGTCAATCTGAAGCTGAATTGCATTTGTAGATTTGCTTCCAAACAGGATGTAGTAGGTCTTTTCTATGTTAAGTGTTAGTTTGTTGGTTGACATCCATAAGTGGGCTTTTTTTAGTTCAATATTAACAACATCATTTAGTGTATGTGGGTTGGGGTTGGAGTAAATGAGGGTAGTATCATCAGCAAACAAAATAGGTTTCAGAATGTTAGAGACATTAGGCAGATCATTAATGTATATAAGAAATAGTAGGGGTCCCAAGATGCTGCCCTGTGGCACTCCAACGGTTATTGGTAGAATGGGAGAGATAATATTATTGATGGCTACACATTGGTGTCTATCACTAAGATAGGATTGGATATAGTCCAGTGCATGGCGTCGGATTCCATAATGATGGAGTTTACATAAGAGGTAATCGTGATTAACCGTATCAAATGCCTTTCTCAGGTCAATGAAGAGTCCAATTGGAAACTCATTTTTGTCAAGGTCTGAGTAAATTATATCAAGGAGACTAATAATTGCATCGTTGGTACTCTTTTGAGAGCGGAAGCCAAACTGACAGGGGCTAAGAATGTCGTATTTTACGAGATAGGAGTAGAGCTGTTTTTGGATAATTTGTTCAAATATTTTTGATAGTATGGGTAGGTTCGATATTGGTCTGTAGTTGTTTATGTCTGACGGATTACCTCCTTTATGAACTGGCGTTACTCTTGCGTTTTTAAGGATATCAGGGAAGGTATGACACTCAAGGGATTTGTTGAACAGCAGAGCTATAGGTGGTGCAAGGGCATGGGAGGCGCTCTTGTATACAATGGATGGGATGTCACTGATGTTCCCAGCTTTGGTTTTTAGTGAGTGTATGATGGACACAACATCTGACGGGCTGACTGGTGAGAGGAGAAGAGAGTTTGGATAGCTGCCTGAGAGATATGTGTTGATATGTGTCTGAGTCAGTGGGATTTTACTTGCAAGGTTAGCAGCAATCGATGAAAAGAAGCTATTAAATTCTTTCGCCATTTCTAAGTCAGATGACAGTGTAAGGCCATCCTTAGAGAGTGTTATCTGGTTGTGGGAGTGTTGTTTAGTTCCCAGGATGTTAGAGATGGTATTGCATGTGCTTTTCATGTTGCCTTTTGCTTCTTTGAATCTAGTCTCATAATACGAAAGTTTTGCTTTTTTTCTGATACTAGTAAGCACTGATGAGTACGTTTTAACTACTTCCATTGAAACTAGGCCACCCCTAAATTTCTTTTCGTATTCATGTTTTTTGTTGATTGATTTAATTATGGCACTTGTGAGCCACGGGTTATTTTTTCTTTTATCAGTTACTTGTTTGGTAAGGAGGGGACAGTGAGTGTTGTAGAGGCTTAGAGTTTTGGAGAGAAAGAGGTTAGTTGATGAGTTTATATCCTGTGAATTATTAAAATCAGATTCCCAGTTAATATTGTGAAGTGCATTAGAGAGATTGCCTAAAGCTGATTCACTATGTAGCCTGAATGAGAGTTATTTGGTTTCAGGTGGTGATTTGTCAATGTTTGTTAAGAGGAAAGTAGGATAGTGGTCAGTTGTTCTGTCATAAATTACCCCAGATGTAAGGGGAGCTGTTATATTAGTCCATAGGTGATCGAGGGTAGTGGCAGATGTTTGAGTGACTCGGGTGGGCTTGGTGATTGTGGGGATTAGCATACAGGAGTGCATGCTGTTAGGGAAATAGTCAACTTGAGGGTTGTTTTGAAGACCCAGGTCAATATTGAAATCACCTCCCAGAATGATGTGATTTTTGTTGAGATTGTTATTTATTGGGAACGCGAGACGTGGCGACGACTACCCCCCCCCCCTCCAGTGGCGAGGCCTGGGGTCAGATTCACGAAGCAGTTACGCAAGTACTTACGAACCTGTACATCTTTTCTCAATCTTTGGCGGCTTTGTTTACAACTGTTAAACAGTTAATGAGCTCCGAAGCACCAGGAGGCTGTTTATAACATTAACAACAGTTGATTGGCAAGTTTTCATGCCGGTAAACTGTTTAATAAATGTAACCAAAGCCGTCAAAGATTGAGGAAAGATGTACACGTTCGTAAGTGCTTGAGTAAGTGCTTTCGTGAATCTGGCCCCTGAACTCCACGGTACTGTACCTTGTACTGTAGTGTACTGTATTGTTCTCTATTGTAGTGTACAGTACTGTGCCCTTGACTGTACTGTATCGTACGGTACTGTATTGTAATGTATATAGTATAGTATACTGTAGTGCATCGTACCGTACGGAACTGTACTCTACGGTACTGTACTATGCTGTACTGTGTTGTACTGTACATACAGGTTGAATAAGTAATGTTATTATTTAATAATTATAATACTTATTTAATAATAAGTATTCGAAAATCATAAATTTTGAGTGTAATGTAAAACATTAAAAATATTTATTTATATAATTATTTATATACAGGAAGGTACATTGGGTTTGTGAGAATACATAGCATAGTACAGTAATTCCACTCTTGTAAAGCCAGTAGTACGCGCAGCGTTTCGGGCAGGTCCTTAATCTAACAGATAATTTTAAGTAGGAAAATTGTATCAAAATAAATAATTTCTCATCCATTTGGTACATGTATGTTTCTCATACTTTGGGTATACATTTGAGTTTATATATTTCAGTTTCAAAAATAAATCTCATTAACTACTAAGGTGTCCAATTACGTCGAGGCGACCAATGACAGTACAGGTTGCGACAATGTGACGTCAACAGAAAATGAGAAACGTGATTGGGTATTGAGTCCACCTGCTCATTGAGGCGCAACGGAACGTTATTTTGCCCCTAGAATTAGCCGAGTAGAGGTGTACAAGTTAGTGTTAGGGCGTTTTGTTACTCTGAGCTGGTACCCCGTTACCCTTTGGGGTCGCTAGGGCTGACAGACCCCTAGGTTACACTGTCACTCTGTACACCGTCAAAACGCACATAGGGGCAAAAATCTGTATTATTTTATAGCTGGCGTATATACCCCCTGTTGGGGTGTATATATACTGCGATATTTTTAGTCCTGACCCATAATCAGTACTCAAATATATTTATAAATGTTTACGTAGTGTATTGATTAGTAACATTGTATTGTATTTTTTCCCCCAACAGTCTTGAAGGACCGATGATTGCAGTCATACCCTGGCGAGCAGAAGGTGGTGGCAGATGTTGTAGTTGTGCTAGTTGAGTTACCAAGGTATGATGGGCGTATCCGGCACAAGGTAAATAGTTAGGCATAGTAATATTGTATTAGGATTAGGCTAATTTGGAGCCTAGACTGGTCAAACTTCCATTGCCCAAACATTACTACAGGCATATCAGGAGCCCCATGAGTTTTGTTTTAAATATGAAAAGCTATGAGTTAACATTAGTTACCGTAAGTGGTGTAAAAAGTTGTTAAAATAGTATAAAAATATAGTGTGGAAGGAGGGTGGTGTTGCTTCGGGTTAGTTTGCTGATTAATAGTGAATAAGTTGGTCGATAGGCTTTGGCCGCTCTCGGTCGAGTGTAGTGTTATCCACTTTTAAAGTGCTGTGTTCCCCCCCCCCCCTCCCCCACACTTTAGTGTTGGTTACCTGGGTACATAATTTTACGTATAAGGGGGGAACCGTTGACAATACGTAGCCTTCCTGTCCTCGTCGAAGGACGTAGACATTGGTAAATTTACCAGAGTCGTTTGACGTACATAGGTGATAAAAGTAAACATTTAATGTTACTATTCAAATGTTACTGCCATTATTAAGTGAAATTGTTTATAATGTTAAATATACAGCATGAAATAAGCGCGACCTCCTTCGTAGGACAAAGATCTCATTATTAAATAAAGCTGAACAATATGATTTATACGTGTAGGTGACTTGCGGTTCGGGCTGACTTGCGACCAATGGGTGATTAATGTAAACTCTAGATGTGACCCTCGTGACAGTATTTGTCTTGTTTACTGTAGGTGGCTGGCGACGGTACACGTGGGTGTGTAGGTGGTTATGTTGTTGATATTGGTGTAATTGTGTAGTGAGCGGGATAGCGTGCGCTCCACCAGTAGTGTAGGTTGAGGCAAAAGTGAAAACATGTCAGTAAGTCACTTGTAACTTAAGATTGAGCTTCAGGTATTGGTCCACGATCTGTTGGTTATCATTGTGTAGCAGGAAGTATATGGTGTGGACTTGATTTAGTAGTGTTAATGGAGAATTGTGTACTAGGAACATAGTCTCATTTCCCTCGAACATTATCAGGCAATCTGGTGATATAGGTACCCCAATTAGTACTGGTAGGTAATTATTTGGCAGTTAATGTTGTCTAGGCAGAACTGTAACAGACGGTGATTGGGGGAAGGGAGGATGATTATGCGCGATCACGAAACCCGAAGAATTGTAAATATCGTGTTTAGCTTCGGATATTAGGTATAGCCAACATGGTGTTGAGTGTGGGGGAAGGGTATTGTGATGGGTGCGCTTTGATGGTATTGCAAAAAAAATTAGGACTCGTCAGAGCTGCAAGACATGTTTTGGCATGTATTATAGTTTTCCCTCATCTAAAGTGAGTTTAGACGTTGATAGACATATCAGAAAGTAATATACAAATTGTTAGAGGTTGAATTATACAATTATATTAGAGCAAATGATTTCGCAGGGAAGAAAAAATTGTGTAAGGAGTTTGAACTAGAGTATTCATAAATAGATTGTTGTAGCCCTTAACATTTGTTATTAAGGTTAAATGGATGGATATTACGCATTATATTTCATGCAGATGAGCGTGTGGAGAGGTGGTGGCTGGGCGAAAGAGAGCAATGGTGAAGTATGTATTTGTGAAGAAAGCAACATGGATGGAGGGCAACCAACGCCACACTGCAGAGTAATGGAAGAGGCTGTGACCTGCAGGTGAGTGTGATATGTTCATTTCAACACATCTTCCTCCAATAATTTAGTTACGTAGTCCATAACACCGAAATCGCAACTAGTACAAAATATATTAATCCTGAATTAATCATGTGGTGTACTTTGAGCATTAGACGTCATGAGACCCAGCCTTACTAGACGGAACACGTTTATTATATAATAAAGTAAATGGCTGGAAGTGAAGATAACGTGTGGAAGCTTTGGTGTGTGTGTATATATATGAATGCTACGCTGTATTCATGTATATATGGTGAAATACACATGAACAGCTCGCACACTCGCAGCTCCCAGATAAGAGATTAAGCTTAGTTGATACAACCCTCCCCCCCCCCCCCATAGTGTCGGGAAGGTGGACTGGCGCTTTGTTTCATAACTCGAGTGCATGTCCCATTTCAAAAGTGGCCCATGAGGCACCCCCCCCCCTCCAAGCCAAGCTGTGTTGTTTTCGGAACAGTGCATGGGCGTATATTTGATAGTAATGGTGATAAAGAATGTTTATCGTATATGAATGTTAAGAATCCTGAATACAATATAGTTTCGCAGGTGAGACGCTTGAGTAGCCTCTACGTGGATGACGTTGATACCATCGTGTGTAGTTACTCTAGGGACACAACCTCCAGCTGTTGAAGGATCAAGTTTCTCCCATACAAGGTACGAAAGAATGAAATATTGTTGTAAATGTTTATAGTTGAGAATCGTCGAGCATCTAATTTGATGGATATCCATCGGGTTTTGAATGGTTATTAATGTGCAGTAGTGTATATGTATAACAGAGAAATAGGAGGGACTGGCCTAGAAGGCGCGTCCTTACAGAGGGCAGTAAATATGGGGTTTGGTCAAGGAAGGGGAAATATATAGTTGATGTAGAGAAATATTGTTGGGGGAATTTTTGAATCATAAAGGAATAGATAGTTGTAGGGAATGTTAAGTAAATAATGAAATTTGAAGTACCTAATTTGTTAATATTGTTTTTAGTGTAATCTGCTAATATCGTAAACGTAATTTTACTAATAAGTACCTAATAATGAAAGTAAAAGGTACCTAATTGCATCTTCATAGTTTTCTACATTGTTGGTTTAAAATTGCATTGTATGTAGTGGTACCCAATCTTGTAATCATGTACCCAATGGCAAAAACTTGACCATTGTGATCATTGCTGTCTTATGTGGTTTCAATTTGCTGTATGGTGCCTATTAATGTTAGTATAAATTACCAATCAAGCTGTCAATGCAATGTGAGGTTTAATATAGCAATGTTGTATAATATACCTGTACCTACTAATCTCACGTTTAGTCGAGTTTTTGTTTGTTGCAATGTATCAATCATTGTATTAATTCCGCTAGAATTTAGCTACTTCAAATTATGTTAGATTAAGGAGCTGGGCGAAACGCTGCGTGTACTAATGGTCTTACAATTGTAAATAGCATGGTATGTATTCTAACAAACTCAATGTACCTTGTATATATGAATATTACTTTGGCATTGTAAGGAATAAAATAACAAGTTTGTAATGTATGGCAAACGTTAACGAAATGAAGAGGACTTGTTAATAGATATAAATGTAAAGTAGACGTGAATCAAGTGTTAGATCATTGACTGTAATTGACTTAGCCTAGTGTAAACGCTGGGTATAAAAAATGTTATATTGTCTTTCAGTTGGAATGTGTTATGGCTCACCAATTATTTATCTTTGACCCGCATCACGGGTCCAAGTCTGTTGGTGTTAGCTTCCTTTGGCTTGAAACTAAGAATAGTTTATGTTCAATTTATTACAAATTATGCATTGCCCCCGTGCATGTTTTATTAACTTAATAAAACTGTACTCTTTTAATGAGTTATGTTAATAAGTAAAGCAACCTAGAATGTGGTAGTTCCTGAGTTCGAAGCCTCATGGCTTTGAGTTGAAGAATATAGTGGTATTGCGTACCATGAAGTTACCTGAATTTAATAAATCAATATCTGGGGGTTAAGCTTCATGTTATTTACTGTTACTGGTGTTGGAATTGTTTTATTGTTTAACTATTGTTTGGCATTAAGTTATCAAGTAACTGAGGTAGGCTGTGATAGGCGCGGAGTAGGCCCACCCCCCTTGCCTCTTGGTTTAAGATTACTGGCTGTGCATTGACGTTTAGTTACATGAGGTAACTATTCCCGCAAATTATGGAGCGTGTTGGTGCATGTGTATTTATGTATTACTGGTTTACAGTGTTTGTTTATCATTATGGTTATCGCTTTTAAGTTAATAGGTAAAGTCAGGTAGGTTAGGCTAGCTGCTGTGTCACAGGCCTCCGGTCCCTAGCTTGAAGTTTTCATGGACTGTTATTTTCCATAAATTTCGTTAATTTATTAATTTTATGCAGTGTCAAGGTGCATGTTTCTTTGCTGGTTTTACATTTGTTTGTTTACTTAACTTAAAGGTGAAGCATAAGTTAGTCAGCTAGGATGTCCTAGACGCTGTCTTCGGGCCTCATGGCTGTCCCTTTTAAGTTGATCTTGGACTCATATTATGATTAGTTCCTTCAGCAATTTATTGCTAGTTATGCATTGCTTCAGTGCATGTCATTTTACTTACCGTTTTACACGCATACTTGTTTTCTTGACTTTGTCAAGTTTAAGTAGTGACAGGTAGGCAGTACCAGTTTCGTTTACCAGTACCAGTAAACGTTTCCAGTCGTTTTGTGTGGCCGGTGTAGCCCGAAAGAATGTGCAGCGTCCCGGGTGGTGGTTTATCCAGACATGTGTGGCCTCCCAGGCCGCTGGTTATCCGACGTGTTGTCTGCTCGGTGTAGGCCGGAAGATACTGCTGGTTCCCAGGCCGCTGGTTTATCAGACGTTTTTGTCTGCCCAATGTAGCCAGGAAGGTTGTCATAGCCACTGCCGTCTTAGGTGACTGCGTTCATGGGCTGGTCTCGAGGCAACGTTCTTCCTGTGATGAGTTAAGGCGGCGATGTTATTCAGGTATTATATTTATATTGGTCATATAAATATGCGGCCTTCCAGGCCGCTGGTTTATGCAGACGTTTTACAATTAGGGATCCGTAGCGTTCCTGGTGTCCATTTCACTTTGCCTCAGATGGCCAGATCTTTAAGTTCTTGGGGTACTGGTGCTCGCAGATGCTCATTGACACTGAGACTAAAGTCATTTACGGCTCTTAAGGCAGTTTGTTAGGGTAACTATTCAGGTGTAACATGCTTTCGGAGGGCAACATACAATGGAGATGACTGTAAGGGACTCGGTTAGCATCGTTATAATTTGTCACTGTGGACGCAAGCATGTTGCAGTTGCGCCTTAAGACCTGTTTCTTATATTTGAAATATGGTTTTATGTATATATTGAATTGATATTATGTACATAGTGGTCATATAAATAGTTAATGTTTGGTTGTTTTATATTATTGTATTGGAATAGTTTGAAATGAATGATTGCTTGCTAGATCCCTCCCCCTGGATTAACTTCTGCCCTTGACCCAGATACGGTAACTGCCCCCCCCCCCCCCCCCCCCCTAACACTTGTTTGTTACTTGTTCTTGTTTTTCCCGCTAAAGTTCTGCTCGGGTTGGTAGTTACCTTACTTCGCTAGCGACTAGTTTCCTGGAAGATGTTTTTCTCTTCCTTTCCCCTCTAGTCACTGCTTTCCCCTGTGCCAGTGTTCATTTTCAGAGTTTTCCCACAGGGTATCACCCTGGCTTTATCCATTAATGACACTTGCCCAGTTCGCTTCCGGAAATGTCCCCCTCCTCTTAGAAACTAATTCCAGCAGTACCCTTAAGGGGTAGGTTCGTTGGCCGTCACGTTGATAGTGCATGGCCGTTTCTGCCCACCCTTACTGCCTTAATACTTCCAGAACCGACTACGGAAGGCGCACGAGGTACACCATTGATGAGCAAGGAAAATGGATGGAGCCCGAGGGCAGACTACTGCGCCCATGAGGTCGACACACATTCCTAGTTACAGCGGGCAGCCGCCGCGTTCGCCCTTGGGGGGGGTGCTCGCGGCATTGGGGTTTGGGCGGAACCGCCAAAGTGATAAGCCTGCAGATAGCTAAGAAATATTCGCATGAATTGTAATTAGTGTAATGAAAATAATGCAAGTTTCATATAGTATCTATAGATTTAGTTATTAATTGTAATTATTTTATAATTATAATGAATAATCATTATAATTATTCGTTAATACTATTGTTATGCACTAGTCAATAATTAATTATCAATAATGCTAAATATATTTGAATGAATTAAAAATAATAATCATATATACTAATAAAAAAAATGTGTATAATATAATAAAATAATGTATTATTTACCAATATAAAATAAATAAGTCCCCAATGTGAGGCCGTTTTGTTTGAACCTCAGAAAAATAAGTTTCTAGTAGTGTTAGCGTTCAACGTTCTGTAGTGACAAATGTTGAAACAGGTTAGTATAGAGAATACAATATAAAATATATATGAATAATACGTTTGATGTTTGTAACAGTTTTGCTTTCTGGTCAGTTGCACAATAGTTACTGTGTTGGGAGAGTGTTTGTCTGAGAAAATCTCGTATCTCACGGAATGTGACGGAGAGGGCAAAGATATTTTGATTATGAATCATTGAAGGAAGTAGTGAGAATATTAACTTTGAGGGTTAATGTGTTAATATTTAGTGTGGTTGATGTACAGTAATATAGTATTATCTAAGAATATATGAACGTGAAATGTTAAATAGGATTGTTGTAATTGTACTAATTGAATATGTGCGCCGGGAAGGGGTAGAAATACCCTAAGGTACTCGTGAGTGTTTGTTAACAATATATTTTAAACTTGTGTATTAAGATAGTTGAAGTTTAATACATAATGTGCTTTCGATTGTAAAGTGATTGAAGTGTGTATAGTTATCAATAAGTAGTGTAGCACGTAAAATAGTTTTGATGTGTGATATCATTGATAGACAGTATACCTGGGACCTACAAGAATTTTGCCCCGAGTGTAACATTGAAATGGTGTGCTTACTATATTTAAGAGTATTGTTGTACTGTGTATTTGTAATCAGTGAATTTGTGCGGCCCCCTTTATGTTGTGCAGTTAGAGGTGAGTAGAAATATCCTAAATTACTGTATCCGTTTGAGATGTAATGATTATTATTGTGTAAATAAACATACTTTAATTGAAGGTTGTTTTTTGTAAATTTGTTTTTAACAACCTCTTGTGTTTTGTCTTGAGTCAAAGGTGACACGTACGTATGTAGTGATTATATATAAACCTGCTTTGATGGAAATTGAACGTTGTGTGAAAATTTGAAAGCAATCACTGAAGACGTTTCGGAGAATATGTATTCCGAAAAAGAATATTCCATTTGTCAAATATAAATATTATATTTACAAATCATGAATATTAAAGAATAGTTGTGAAAAACATTAATAATAAATTATTTAATACTAAAAATGAATATTGAAATACTATTAATTTAATATTGAATAATAATAAAAATATAGTTTAGAGGAATAATAATGAATATTGAAGAATATTTATGAATGAATAGTAATCTTCAATATTGAAGAATATTCTTCAATATTGAAGAATATTCTTCAATATTGAAGAATATTCTTCAATATTGAAGAATATTCTTCAATAGAATATTCTTCAATATTGAAGAATATTCTTCAATATTGAA